GCAAATGCACTTGGCAGGAACCAAACTTTTATCTGTAAGACTTGGAGGCTATAGGTAGACTTCGGCCCTGTCCGAAGAGGAGCCCGTGTTGGCTGGTCACACTTCAGATATTAACAGAAAGAGGGGCGAAAGGAGGGGGATGTAAAATTGGAGAATGCGGGCATCGATCCCGCTACCTCTCGCATGCTAAGCGAGCGCTCTACCATTTGAGCTAATTCCCCATCTGGCGGCGAGTGTTTACAGCCGTCGCCCTTTCTGAGATATGGAAGCAATTCGGGCGTTGCTGTCTCTCGGGTTGACCCTTCCCTAACCAACAGAAAACGGTGCGGTCCGCGAGCAGTGACCAGGCAGACACGGACCACAGTTGCCCTCGGCATGGCCATAACCTGTTCCGTGCTCCGCGTCCTGACCCTCAAGGGCCACGGAACGCCGGGGACCCGCGCGAGGAGTCTAAGGAACACCTGCCTCGAGGTTGGACAAGAATGCGATGCCGGAATCTGATCTGAGGAACTCGGGTAACGGAAGGGAACAGGATTCAGCCATTGAGAATTTAATCAAGGTTCTCAAGCGATGGAGGTCTGGCTTCCGCCTGCACAGTAATTCCCAGACATCCTCGCGCCGGTATCGACTCAGCTGGCCCCACAATCAGAATGTGAAGTCACAACGGATCTACGACTGTCCCTTAACATCGGTTTATCTGGATTTCTTTGACACCGCCTGGTGTTTTGTGGCCACGAGGAGGCCTTCGTGCCATTTAATTTCATTTTGGCTTCTGTAGGCACGATTGCCAGAGTTGAACAAGTTCTTTCTCTAAGTAAATGTTCACAAAGGAAAGCGAATATATTTATCACTGCAAGCTCAGAGCCCGAGTCCTTCTAAAAAGATTAAAGCAATAGTTGCCTCTTTTTCTTCTGAGCCCTCTGAGCACCAAGTTCACACAGCACCAGGAGCTAAGTGCTAGATACCAGTAAGGGAGGCCAGTTGTGAAGAGGGGACCGCTGGGCCTTACAGGGGCATCAGCAGGTCTTCACTCTCATACCTGCTCCTCCAACGGCTTCTTTCCCAGAACTTCAATCAGGAGGAGCTTCCTCTGTTTGGTTTGTTATTGTCTAGTTTTGATGGAATTGGGGTAAGCTGATCAGACCCGAAACTGAGCCGGCAAAATTTAAGCAGCTGAGCAGGGCATCCTGAGATGTTTAGATTGTCCTCAATACCGGTGCTTGTCTTGCTTGTTCATTGTGATCAGGGCTGACAAGAAGCAGATGGTTCTATCAGAGGAAGACCTTTCCTCTTACATGAGAGAATTCAACACTCAGAAGTTTAAAGTGTGTATAGAAACCTGCTATTCATCCCAAGACTTGGCCCAAGGTCTGCTTTGTGTTGCTTCTTAACATCTTCTGGGTTCTTTCTCCTCACTTGTCCCTGACAGAATTAAACCAGTGTAGCCTTTATTTTCCTGTTTAAAATTATTTTCCAGGATTCTTTTGGTTCAGGTGCCCAACCTGAATTGGGCTTTGGCAGATGGTAAACCTAACATATTTTGTTTGGGGCTTTCAGCTGCAAAGTGGGAATTTGGTTTCCAACAACATTGGGTTAGGTTTCCACAGAGGTGGACAAATACCATGAATATCTTAAGATATACATTAAAGTTTTACCAATTGTTTCCCTACTTGACGTTCCACTCAGTTTTCAGAAAGGACAGTTGCAATGGTACTGAAATGCATGGGACATAGCTCTGTTGGCAGCTCTGTCCATATTCAGGGCAAACTTTTCTCTTATGGAGCAAACCCAGACACTTCCAGGAGAGAAAGGAGGTCATCAGACTGGACAGTCAGTGAAATTGAGTATTCACCCTAGCTATACTAAGAGGAGGACAAAGGATTTTACTAGGGTTTTGTTTTTCTTTTGAGATATACATGGATTTGAGATCTTATAACCCAATACATTTTTCATATTTGTAACCCTGTGAAGCCAACTACCAAGATCATTATGTAGAATACTTTTAACGTTAAAGTAATGACATTACTTTTCAAATGTGTATTCGAAATAGAAGCAAAACCTTCAAAACAAATCTTACTTTAGAAATTCTTAAATCAGGAACTAAAGTAGGACCTATACCTCCTTCGATAGCTCAGTTGGTAGAGCGGAGGACTGTAGGTGTTACGTATTAGGTATCCTTAGGTCGCTGGTTCGAATCCGGCTCGAAGGAAGGTAGTACCTTTTGGATGAATATGTTATTTTTCCATAAATAAGAATGTTGGATCTTTATAAAAACAATGATCTAGACAGACAATACTAGATTAGTCTGTTTCTAGAACTAGAGATACGAAGCATGCTTACCTTATTTATATATGTAAACTGTCCGGAAACTAAAAACGTGGTAGCCTCAGGGAAGGGGTAGTGGAGTGGCTGGAAAACAATGTCGTAGAAGTCCCCCCTACACACTTGTGAAATCTCGCCTCAAGGCACCCACCCACCCTCCCTCCCCGGGTCCCTGCCGGTTCCTGCTTGTCCTCTCCATTCTTGCTTCCCCTCTACTGCTGACCAGACGCAGTTTCACCCCCGACCTCTTCTGTCCCGAGCAAAGCCCCAGACCCTCAAAGCAGCCCTCCTCGTTTCCGAGGGTCGCGTTGTGCTTTATTGGAGGTCCGGGTAAGCGAGAGCCTTTGGAGCCTCTGCTACCCTGGTACTTTTAAAAGAATTTTACGGGAGAACATTTCAAATATGGCCCAAAGCAAAACCTTTTGGAACGTATCCGCCAAATACAGCCACAGTCCCCTGTGCACCGTGTACCCCGAATACCCCACTCACCCCAGCCTTTTACGCTGTCGCCTCACTACGTCTGCTGTTGATGGGTTTAGAAGAGGTGTGGACTGAAGGACGAAGGGTGACAGTGTTCACTCGTGTCCCCAGGAGGAGAGGACAGTGAGACGCTGTGTCCCTCGAGGTTGACGAGGAGCGCAGAGGCACACGCTGCGCTTCCCGGGGCGCGGGGGCACCTGTCCTGGCGAGCGTGTCCCCGCCCGCTGACCACTCGGCACACGCTTGCCGTTCGCTTTCAGCTTTAATGGAGGGGAGATGGGGTGGACAACTGTGTGGGGACCCCCGATGGACACCGACAGCAATGTGGAGCTGAGTAAGGAACTGGGGATAGCGAGGACCTGGAAGTGCGGAACTGGTCCTGAAGGCGGGGTTAGGTCCGTTCCCGCGGCGGGGACGCGCGGGGAGCCCTAAGCAGAAGCAGGCGGGGGAGGAGGACAGAGCGCGCCGCCCTGGGGACTCGGGGGAGTCCCGCGCGCCACCTGGCCGCGCCCACGAGGACCCTCAGATCCCGAGCCAGGAGCAGCGGCCACCCCTGTTCCTGAGCTGCCTGCACAGTCGGAGTGGGATGTGTCGGAGCAGCCACGGTGACCCATCGCTTGCTCTTCCAGAGGAGGGCGTTTTGTGTGTGGAGTGACATGTACAGATAAAGATGATAAAATTATAAAATATTGTTAAGAGGACAACAAAAGTTCGCTTGGCTTTAAGGGAAGTCAGGAGAGGCGGTGGCTGGAACCGGCGGCCACCGCGAGCACCTCCTCACCACCCGCCGCTCTGCGCTGCTTCATACACTTTCGGGTTCTGCAACTCGAGGCGCCGACTTTATTTTTTCCCTTATTTGAATGAAAAATACAGTAGAGAGCATTTGAATAGACATAGCAGTGTTTCATGGTTCCCAAGAATTTTCCCTTTGAAGTCTGTGAGGACGGAGGTTTCCAAATTAGTTATTCCTATTCCCTAATCTGGGTGGGTAGGAAGGGTGGTAAACACGCCCCGTCCGAGGTGCGGATGGTGGTCAATGCCTTGTCCTTCCTCCTCCACATAGCATGCAGCTCAGATGTGTGCTTCCCTTAGGGCGTTATCCTCAATTTGAGAACGTGGCTTATCATTCAATAAATAAGTGCCCCTAACAAGAGGCACTATCCTAGACACCTTGCCATGTCCATAAACCACAAAATCTTTCTCATCCACCCAGTTACTCTTTCAGAGTGGAAGAGGTGTCCAGGATTAAAAGATAAATTATATAGTCATCAGAAGGCAGTGGCAGGACAAAAAGTAAGCAGCGCAGGCCAGTAGCATCTGGATGAGGAGAGGCTGATGGGGAAAATGTTGGTCTTTTTTTTTTTTTTTTCCAGGCCTCATTGCTGACCTTTCTGAAAATTAGTGAAGCCTTTGAGAGAATGTGCAAACTGGTATCTTGTGTGTTAGTGGGGCTAATACAGCTCAGCTGCTTCCAAGGTGGCATACAAGATTCAGCAGTGTGTGGGAGGAACCAGACTGTTGCTTTGCACAGCAACCCAGATAAGGACACATTATCGGAAAGAAACTTCCCAGATATTTCTTAGTTTCTCATGGGAAGGAGCTGAGGTACTGAATTAAGCAATTATTAGCATTGCTGCAGAGATTTTTTTATGGAACTCATTGGACAGGATCTTTTGAAGAAAAATTTAATTTTTCCAAAACTGTAGTTACGGAGCACCTTAATTTTACAAGATGATCTTTTCAAATACTTCACCAGAAATATTTCCCATAAACTTAACAATTCATACATTAAAATTTTTATGACCTCCAGAAAAAGTCTCACCAGATGACTTCTGGGATTCCCCATCAGGGTTCATTTGTTGTAGGTGCCCGGAACTTGAATGTCACCACAAGTACTTAGTAGCAAAGCCTAACTGCACATCCATAAATGAAAACCTTGATGTTCTTTTAAAGATTTGAGGTGTAGGTATGTTTCATTTATTTGTCTTACTATAGTTTTGTGCAGTGCAGTGTAAGCCATTCAGTACCCGTGTGTGCACATGGAAAACACCTGCTTTGTGTCTAGTACATTGTGCTTAGCTCTACTTTTTCTTGTACTTTAGAAAGAAGAACCACAAAGTTTCCCAAATTAACTAGGTGGTAACACTGCTTAAAGATGGAGAATCTAATTGTCTACACTCCAGCTGTCTGTGTTTAGGATGACTGTGGCATTATCATTTACATTCCAGGGAGAGAAGCAGACCCAACAGCAGGTCAATAAGCACAAAAGGGAGATGGTTACGTAGGTGCTATACCTAAGGAAACAGGACACAGAACACTGCTGCTAGATTTTAAGACCTATGTGAAACATAGAGTAAAAGGCAAAAATCTTAAATGTTTAAGAGAATGAATTTTTATATGCATATATAATCACCGCTCAGATCAGTTTTATTTTTTAATTAATTAATTAATTAATTTGGTTTTTTGAGACAGGGTCTCACTATGTAGTTGAGACTGACCTGGAACTCATTATGTAGCCCAGGGTGGTCTCAAATGCACAGCGATCCTCTTGCCTCAGCCTCCCAAGTGCTGGGATTACAGGCATGCACCACCTCGCCCAGCTCAGATCAGTTTTAGATACCTAATACTCAATTCTTTTCATGTTTGCCTGTTTTCCTAACAAGAATACTTTCTAAAAAGTCATTGATTACACATTTAAAATGTCTTGAAGGCCTACTCCTTAATATCCTCCAATAACTCATTTGTTAGAACTGAAGAGTGTGCTTATGTGATCATCCTTAGATCACTGGTTCAAATCCCTCTCAAAAGAGTTAGCTTTTGAAAGGTTCTTAGGCCCTCAGAGCTTAAAAAAAAAAAACCCGTCAAATTAAAAAAACAAAAACAAAAACAAAAACAAATCTTAACACAGTGAGCGGTAATCGGTGTTTGAACTGTAAGACTCAAATTTAAGAAACTAACTCAATGGTCACGGTACACACATGGAACAAACACACACTTCACTGACTGTTGCCTAATTCATACTGATAGCCGGTGAAGGAAGATTCAATTCACTTTCCAACGAGTTGAGGAAGAGTAATGAGTGTG